TGAACATCTCAGTGATCAAGCTCGAAATTTAACAGGTGACGATTTTTGGTAAGATCAGGTACCATGTGTGGTATAAATGAAATGTTTGGACAAAATCTGCTATTAAATGAAATGTTTGGTACCGCTGCTACAATTATTCCTAAATTAAATTTTAAATAAAAGTTGATGGAATGTTTTCTTATAAAATTGTCGGTACTATTAAATGTGTGATTAAATTTAAGGGGAAATTCCAGCAGCGATTCCTAACTTTTTTATTTTTTTGCAGATTTTACTTTAACCTTTAATTTGTGTTAATAGAGGTCCCCAACCTTTTTGAAATATGCATCTGAAGTTCATATGGGTGAAATCCATCAATTGACCAAGAAAATGATTTTGACCAGATAATTAATTATTTTTATAAGGGTAAAATTTGTAACTTTATCTCATTTCATATAAAAATAATTAAATTAAAAAAATCATCATCATCTTCCACCTTTACTCCTACCCTATCCAAACTCATATCTACCCCTACCCAAAACCAAACCCACTTGCTACTGCCGCCGTCAACACTGTTGCCCACGACCACGACTACCATCACCAGAGCCAACACAAATCAAAGTCCCCAGAATGATCACAATGACAACATAAAGCAAAATCCAATGTTGTCCACAACCGCTCCTCGTAGTCCCCTTCGCCACCATCGCCTACTGTCGCAACCAGAATCATCAAATCACAACACAAAGCAAAACCCAAAATCGAACCCATGTTACCTATCATCGCCCACAGCCACTACTATTATTGCCAATACAAAGCAAAATCCCCAAATCACAATCATAGATCACAATCACAACACCAAGCAAACCCCCAAATCAACCTTTATATTGACCCTAAACTTCACCTTGCCACCAAAACGACGAGTTTGGCTACAGTCGACACACCCACCAGCCCATGCTATGCAAAGCTTAACATCAAGAACTCCCCTTCACAAACAGCCCTCCTCTCTCTCTGTATCTCGACCACAAATGACCCACCAGATTTCTCCACTTTCGCGACAAGCTTCCACCTCGACCCTGATGCCCTTCGCTACCTTTTAAGCAACCATATTACCCTCAAAATATCAATCTTTACGGGCCGCATTGGACGCATTTTTGGAGTTAGTTTGGGGTAGGAAGGGAGACGACAATATGTGGCGATTGTGACGGTATTTGTTTTCCCCATTTTTTGGGTAGGTGGGGGTTTATATTAAAATTGTTTAGTTACTCTTTTGCAATTTTACAATTTGATCAAAATCAACTTCTTTGGTCAACTAAAGGTCAAATGGATGAGTTTTATCTATTTGGACTTTAGATGCCTATTTCAGAAAGGTTAGGAACCTCCATCGACACAAATTGAACGTTAGGGTAAAGTCTACAAAAATTGAAAATGTTAAAGACCGCCAATGCAATTTTCCCTAAATTTTATTATTGATTTTGACCTAAATTTTAATCAATTTTTTTAACTAAATCAAACAGGTGCTTAAAGTACTATGCCTCACAATGACAATACACATGCTCGTTAAATGTGGTTGCAATATTTAAAAATTCAATTAAAAGTTCTATTCAAATATAGCCTAATTAATATTTGGCATGCATAGACTCTGTTTGGAAAATATTTTTAATAACTTAAAAGTTACTTCTATTATTCAGTTAAAATTAGACTTTAATAACACACATTTAAAATTACTATTTGTTACCGGTCAATATATGAAAGCGACACGTGGCACCGTAGTTTAGCGGTGGGACCAGCTTAATTAAATCAAGACATATTTTCCTAGCCTCAGAGGTGAATTCCGAGGCCACTGCTGTTAACAATAAGCCACGGTTCGGTGAGCATACATCGTCCGAGGCTCCTTAGCAGCTACTGAAGACCCACATGTGAAGATCCGCTTATGATGAAGATCTTTTGTGAATGAATGACGTGACTCTTATGTGAAGTTTATTTATATCTTGTCTTGTCAATGTAAGAGCACTTAATGCTTTGTAAAACTAGGAGAGTCAACTTGATGGCTAAAATTTGATGTCTTGGCCAAGGAGATGAGACCACGTGTAAGTTGATCCAAAGGTCACCATTTAAGTTGTAACACTATAAATATCCCCACCATGTAACACAAAATGGACTAATGCAATTTTGAAGAACAAACTGAATATTTGGAACATCTCTATCTTTTCAGCAGTGATTCTTACAACATATTTTCTACTACAAGTCGTCCTTTATCGATTGGTTTCTCATACAATCGTATTACATTTTCTTGCCGGTAGCGTGAACGGAAACGTCTCGTGCCTTTGAACCACTCCCACGCCCTTTCTCTGGAGCCATCTTGACCGTTGATCGGCATTAGTGTGTTGAACCAAGCTTGCGTGTGCACGAGTGGGCTCGACATCTGTTGACAACATTTTTTGGGGTCAACACTATTCATTATTATTCAGACATTTTTTAGTCTCCACCTCTATTTCTCTTAAAAAGTTGGCTATTTATGAGTTGTACCCTCTGCATTGTACGTGTACTGTGCAGACTGGACCATACCAATTTCTAATGGGCGCGAAAATTCCCTCAATGCCATGAACAAAATCTTGAAAACAAATATAAATTCATCAAAAATAATAATAATAAAGGAGCAAAATAAAGGAAAAAAGGACAGGCGTGAAAGCATTCTCAGATAAAACCCCTTGCCTGCTTTCTTCTTTGGTTAGCCTCCCATTCCCTCACACCCTTCTCCTTCTCTCTATATTTTTATTGCCGTAGATTGTGAAAAGTTTAAAATAACATAGGCAGATATGATGTTGAGTCCAAGATTTAGTCTTTTGAGTATGTTTTGAAGATAATGAGCAAAGACTTTAGTGTCTTCTTCTCAGAAGAAGATGGTTTCTCATTTTCAAGAACAAGAATTCCTTGTACAAAATCCGATCTTTGATGCCCTTTACTGTGAAGAAGAGCGTTTTGATGAAGTTTTGGGAGGTGGGTTTGACTTTCAATCGCCAGAAATTGAGGATTCTAATGAGATTCATAATAAACATTTAGTTTTTCTATTTGAGCATGACCGTTTTTGGGAGGATGACGAGCTGGTGACCCTCTTGTCCAAGGAGAAAAAACAAGTTCATTTGAGTTATAATGAAATGAACTCAGACGGATCTTTAATAATGGTGAGAAAAGAGGCTACTAAGTGGATGTTAAAGGTGATTACCCACTATGGATTCACTGCCACGACTGCTGTTTTATCTGTGAACTATTATGATAGGTTTATTACAAGCCATTGCTTTCAGAAAGATAAGCCATGGATGAGTCAATTGACTGCTGTTGCTTGTCTTTCTTTAGCTGCCAAGGTGGAGGAAACTCAAGTCCCTCTTCTTCTGGACCTTCAAGTATGTATATTCATTGGATTTCTTGTTTATTGTTTACTTGCACTACTGTGTTTGTGTAAATGCCAATGGTGTTAACGATTTGGGTTTTATATTTATTTGTTTTTTAAAGGTGGAAGAATCCAAGTATGTGTTTGAAGCGAAGACTATTCAGAGAATGGAGCTTTTGGTGCTTTCTACTCTCAAATGGAAGATGAATCCTGTGACTCCGATTTCATTCTTTGACCATAGTTTAAGGCGATTTGGATCGATGACTAATCTACACTGGGAGTTTATGAGGAGGTGTGAGAGTTTTCTTCTCTCAATCATCACTGGTATGTGGATCAGTTCAATTTGATATCATCATTGCATTATACGAAAGATGCATGATTTCGCTATAATTATATGTGCAATGGTTTATAGATGTTTGATTTATGTTCCAAATGCAGATCACAAGCTCTCGCATTATCTTCCATATGCAATGGTTTATAGATGTTTTCTTTATATTCCAAATGCAGATCATAGGCTTGAACATTATCTTCCATCTGTTATTGCTGGCGCAACAATGATATATGTGATTAGAGAGATTAAGCCTTGTAATGCAATGAAGTACGAAAATCATCTAATGGATGTGCTCAGAATCAGCAAGGTCCGGGTTCTAATTACTCTGATATATCTAGCTTGGTTTTGGAAATTGAGTTTAAGCTTTGTCACTTTGAAGTTAATTTAGACTTTTAACTCTTGATCATGAATTATAACAGGAATCTATTGACGAATGCTCTAAACTTATCCGGGAGGTAATATATGGTGATGGCAACAAGCCCTGCCTCAAACGTAAATGGGAGTCTGTGCCAAATAGCCCACACGGTGTCATTGATGCATATTTTAGCTCTGATAGCTCTCGCAATTCATGGGTCAGCTCATCACCCGTTTCATCATCTCCTGAACCTTTGTTTAAGAGAAGCAGAGCTCGGGATCAGCACATGAGACTGGCTTCCCTAAGCAGTGTGTCTGTAGGTGTGGGTAGTACCCCTCATTGAATTCTCATTCTCTAAATTATCTAATATTAGCTATGGTACTTCATAATCTCTCTTTTAGCTATGGGTTCTTGACATAATTGAATGCAATTATATGACATTCTATTATTTCTTACTGTATTTCTGGCCAGCCCATGTGATGAATCAGACATTTGTTGAACAGTTGACTCCACTGCCTCTTTGATTGGGAATGGAGAGTGAGATTGGAAAGAGAGATTAGTGGAGTTTATTTTTCTTGAGCTGGATATCCTTTTTATGTTTATACAATAATGTCTCCTTGCATGTCTTACATAAATATTATACATATTACCTAGTTTTGATGAAAAATCATACAGGGATGGGTGTCCCCAAGGCTTTGGTTGTTTTCTCAAAGGAGGAATTGATGAAGTGAGAAAGTTTTTCAATGTAGGACAGGTTGGCAATGGACTATTTGTTTTAACTGTTTTTAATTAAATAAAAGGTAGAGAGATGTCTTGGGGGGAGGACAACTTTGTCTACCAGTGGGATTTAGGTTGCTGTTGCATTGACTTTTCTTGCTTGGTTTTGATCTTGACAAAAAACACTAATTAGTTAAAATAATTAAATCTAAAGTTTCACATTTTTCTGAACAAATATGGTGTTGGTGAATTTGGTAATCAAGAAAGCCAAAAAGATAATTGAATGCTTAATAAGACATTATAAGCAAATAACTCTTGGATGTCGACTTGATGAAGATGTAAGGCTCTTATAATGGTTATTGTTAGGTAGGATTATAATGAAAGGGCTACAAGAAAATTTATTCGACTTCGGGATTGTGAAGTACTGATTTTGTGGGGATGAGTGTGAACAGAAATATGGTTTTGGCTTGTTAGATGAAAATCTGCAGAATAATATGTTATAGTTTTCAACGGCACTGCTAATCTGAATGGCCAAACCAAATATTCTGGAAATAGACAGCATTTTGACCAGATCAAGATTAACTTCACTAAGAAAAGCCTTTCTAAGATCGCCCGAAAATCTTGAGTTCTTTTTTTCTTTGCACGAAGCCCTGCATCCTGTATCAGTAATGCAGCATTTCTAGAACTCATACTTTCTACATCTTGAAATAATATGGATCAGTAGGTTTGAGTCTGATGATGATGAAATAAGCTATATAATTACATCCAAGAAAGGCGGGATGAACATTAACATTATGATACTAATACTTGATGCACACAACATTTTTGGACATTATTAGTTGTCTATATTTTGTCGCGTTGTTCTATGTTGTATCAATCATACATAGGAAATGGAGTATTTTGTCTCTTTAACATGACTCTTTTTGTCCTAATCTCCTTTTCAAGAAAGGCTGATGAAAATATAATATGGTTCCACACTGAAGCAGTAGTATTCAAGAAAGGCCGATGAAAATATAATATGGTACCACACTGAAGCAGTAGTATTCATGTGAGGAAACAGATGGGATTAATTGTTGGGAACAGCTAGAGAAGAGTGTTTCCACGTAATTTCAGCAATAAGAATTTTAGTTCAGTTCTTGTTTGGTCTCATAGATGCATAAATGAATATCAAAATAGGAAAAAAGTTACAAAATCTTTACAAAAATTATCAAGCAGATGGTTATTTACATTATTGTAGTGCACAGAAAAAGAAAAATGACGACAAACTAAGCCTCATTCTTAAGAAATTAGATTTGGCTACATGATTTGTTCCTCATTTTTATTTATTTTTGGCCATTTTGTTCGGTTCATTGTAGAAGATCCAGCCTTGCTAGTTTCTTAGTAAATACAGCATCCTATGACGGGGACCTTATATTTAGGTCAGTGCAAAGAAAACAATGCTTTTATGTTCCTTGACGGGGACCTTGTGTTCTTGAACGATAACTATTTTTTCACAAGGGATTATTGGCTTTCTGGCCATCACTTACACCTTCGACCGATCTTCATGTTCATCATTAATTCATTTAATTTCTTTAACTGTTTTGGTTCATAGTACCAAAGAACAAAGTCAGCACAAAATTGGGGTCAATGTGCCAAATAGTTCCAATGAGTAACTCGTGTTACAGTAGACCGCAAGCTGTCAAACGGAAAAAACAATTTCTCTGAGTGTGTTTGGCCCTCCAGCATTGAATACTCAAATGAGATGATTTGTAAGAATGTTATAACCACTGATATGAATCTGAAAGGGCCTATTCAAAATCCTAAATATTCCAGAAAAATTTATGTATCTGATTAATGAGATTGTGTTGGATCATCTGATAATCAATGTGCCACCAACTTGTGAAATTTCTATAAAGAAAACTGACAACCCATGTTAATTTCAGACACTGTAATAATATTAAAACAGGGGAAGAAGACATTGAGAAAATAGTTCAGTCTCCAAAATGTTCAGAGATTAACATTCACCATATCTCTGCTGACTCCGTATTCTATGTCGTTTTCCCTTACTCACAATACTTGGAGGAAAAGCAAAAGGCAAAATTAAAAAAATATTCATCAACCCTTCTATTTAGAAATAAAATAATGACTTGTCACCTTTAATAGGCTCATCTAAAACTTTAAGCTCTTTTAGAAAGAATATAATTATTTATTTAAATTCAGTATTCAACAATTTCTTTCACTTGCAAGTCGAATTTATTTTTTATCAAATCCACGAGGGTGATTAGCACAAAACATTCATTCTTTTCAATATTATTGTGTGAATCGACTCCACCTTTCATTTTTGGCATTTTCACCATTATTTCTACATTTCATTGCAAAAATCATTATTTTCATCTATTTTCTCAATTAGAATTGTGAAATAGCGAATATAACAAATGGAAAAGAAAAGAAAAACTGAAGAACTAAGTGCCATCAGTCTCAAAATTCCAAAAAATTACAAATGAGTCACAAATATATAATTAAAAATCAAAACTAAAAAAAAACCAAAAACTCCGACCAACTGCTAGGAAGTGAGGGTTGTCCAATGGTATGGAGGTCTGGCGGTTTGTGTGGTGGTTGATCGGAGTTTTTGGTGTTTTTTTAGTTTTGATTTTTAATTATATATTTGTGACTCATTTCTAATCTTTTGAAAACTTGGGACTATGATTGGAATTAATTCTTTATCCTTTATTTTATTTATTTTTTTATTTAAATAGGATGGCATATTTTTCATTTCATAACTTTTAATTGAGAAAATGGATGAAAATGATGATTTCCGCAATGAAATGTAAAAATAAAGGTGAAAATGTAAAATAAAAATAAAATGAAAGGTAAGGTAAGAATGTTTTGCATGGTAATACTGAAAGGTAGGGACGTTTCGTGCTAATTACCCAATGCACAATTCTTGTAGACTGTCACATTTATTCAGCATTTGCTGGTTCGGACTTAGGTGTAGAGGCCATGGTTCCAACTATAAATGCTGTCTTGAGTAATGGTATATTGCGACCTTAAAACACTATAAATGCCATGGCTATGTCCATTTCACTCTCTATGGATTTGAAATGAGAGAAAAGGATACAAATTAACGATTCTGAACCAGATAATTCATTTACTCAAATATATTTCTGTGAAGGCACGAAACAATCAAAGCCAGAAATTTACCAGAAATATAAGTATTATATTTTTTAGACGAGATGTTACTAGACATGAAGAACGTTTTCGACATGAGATTATTTGCATTCTACAGTAACACCGTATAGATACTGAAACGTATAATTAAACAGCATTATGCCTGCAAGTAAACAAAAATAGGTCCAGTTATTGACAGTTCTCGACACAAAATACAGAAAGAATGATGAAAATAGTTAAACCCAATATCTTGCCTTGTTTGAAATATTGCTAGATAACCAATCAAGACCTTCATAGATTCCCTCACCTGATGTTGCACAAGTACTCTGTATATACCTGCATGGATTAAATCTTCTTTTGCTCAATTCATAATCAGATATAGGTTAACCAATTAGAGTTTCAGTTGATTTTATTTTTTTCAGTTAATTATATACCAACGATGATGACGCATGGCTTGAAGGCCGAGCTTATCAGTGATTTCAGAAGCACTCATTGCATTCGGGAGATCTTGCTTATTGGCAAAAACAAGAAGTGTTGCATCCCGTAATTCATCCTGCGAACATATCAAGTAATCCGAGGTAACGACTCAGAAACCAACCGATGGGAAATTCTAGAAAGTTCATCTATAAGTTTTACCTCGCTAAGCATGCGATGGAGTTCATCTCTGGCTTCTGAAATTCTTTCTCTGTCATTACTATCCACAACGAATATAAGTCCATGAGTGTTCTGGAAGTAATGCCTCCATAATGGCCGTATCTGTACATCAATGAGCAAAGGACCAAATATCCACATTTTCTTAGGCTGTCTAGTATCAATGGTATCATTCAGAATAACAACTTTATTAACATTTTCAACTTTTAAGTGGTGAATACAGTGAAATGCTGCTTAATAAGCAATTTACTTCTTGATTATTATGGCTGTTCTAATAAAGCTCAAAATACCTTGTCTTGGCCTCCTACGTCCCATACAGTGAAACTCACGTTCTTATAATCTACGGTCTCCACATTAAAACCTGGTACATCAAAATTTAGCCTTTTGAAGAAAGATAGCACCATGATATATATCTCATTTAAATGAACCATAAAAAATCGACGAGATCTGTCAAAAATGGTTGTAGTGGGTAGAATTTCTATGTAGTAATGTTTCGAGTTATCTGCATCAGAAAAACTCTTTGCATCGAGCCAATTTCAAGCAACCATCTATACTGTAATTTTCATCTCCTTGATTATTCAGCAACAGAACTCAGATAAGCTAAAAAATCCCGTGTCAATAAGATTAAAAGCTGAAAACAAAAGGAATAGAACAGTGTGGATGACTAATGCAGATACCAATTGTAGGAATGGTAGTAACAATCTCTCCAAGTTTCAACTTGTACAGTATAGTTGTTTTGCCAGCAGCATCAAGTCCTACCATCAGTATCCTCATTTCTCGCTTCGCAAAAAGCATTTTCACCAGCCGGGAGATAGCCATACCCATTGC